GTCTCAAGTTGCAACAAGGGAAGTTTAGGTTAGATATTAAGGGGGGAAGCCTCTCAGGAGGAGGGTAATAAAGCCAGAGAGGCTGTGGACTGTCCATCGTGGGAGATTTAAGATGTGGCTAAACAAAGCCTCAGCTAGGATGATCCAGTTGGGAATAGCCCTGCTCTGAGCAAGGGGCTGCACTGGAGACCTCCTGAGCCCCCTTCCACCCTAGGACTGCAGAGCAGGCTACAGACACAGCAGGCGCAGTCCCCAGCACGGCACAGCCACTCTGAGCAGCGCCCGCTCATGTTGGGGCAAGTCCCCACCTCCCAGGGACGGCCCCCGCCAGCACCCAGCAGGGACCTCGGAGCCCGGGCAGCTCGCGTCTCCCTGCTAGGGACAAAGTGGCAGGGGAGGAGGAGCAGAGGGCCCAGCCCCGTGCCCCACCGGGGCTGAAGAGCGAAGGGCTTGATTATGAGCCTCGCCGAGTATGGACGTGCCCCCCAGCCCCAGCGGCTCGCGGAGGGGCCGGGTGCCGGGCGACTGGCGCCCCGCGCCGCCCCTCACCTGCCAGCAGCTCCTGCAGGCTCTGGTTGAAGGTCTGCAGCTGCCGCTCGTTCATCAGCCCCTTGGTCCGCAGGAACTTGGAGATGAAGCCCACGGCCGCGGCGATCTCGCGGATCATGGTGGCCCGGGTGTACAGCGCGGGATGCATGGGGGCGGCAGCCGGCCGGCTCGCTCTAGGGGGCGGCGGCGCCCGGCTCACGGCCCGGGGGCTGCAGGAGCCGCCGCCGCCTCCTCCTCCGCCCCCGCCGCCGCCGCTTCTTCCTCCCGCTCCGGCTGCAGCGCTGCGGCGGCGGCACCGTCAGCACCGCGCGCATCTCCCGCGGAGAGGAGCTGCCCCCTGCGCGCCGCCTCTTATAGCCCTGCCCGACCGGAAGTGGCGTCGGGGGGCCGAGCCGCTGGGGCAGTCAATCTCACGATCGCACCATTGTGACGTCAGGGAGGGAGGAGGCTGGGAGGCTGGGCAGGGGTGACGTAATCTGGTTGTAAACAAATAGAGCCTGGGAGCTGAGGAGGGCTACAGCGCCCTGGGGGCTGCGCTGGGGGCGGGGAGTGCGCACCAGCCTCATAAACAAGAGGGAGAGCAGAGACGTGCGCGCGCGCGCGCAGCGAGTCGCGATGCGGAAAGATACGGCCCGGGGGGTTGGTTTTTAAATGAAAAGCTTAGATGTCTATCCGGAGAGGAAGAGCAGTGCCCACAGGCAGGTCCGCGCTCCCCTCCGGTCCATGTGTACTGATGTTTTGTATGTAACTTCGATGTACCTACTCCATGCCAAGGCAGGATTGGTATTCAAAGGTGCAAGGCTATAAAGAGCCCAACCAAAAACAGATATATAGATCTCTCACACTCTAGACACACACACACACAAATATATGTGTGTGTGCATGTACATGGGCAGTATAGAGACAAGACCCAGGCAGAGCCAGTGCCTAGCCATACATATCTACAGAGAGAGAAATAGAGCCCAACCAAAAATATATAGAGCTATAGGTCTCTCTCTCCACATACACACACATACATAAATATATTTGTGTGTGTGTACATGTACATGCATAAACAGTATAGAGACAAGACCCAGGCAGAGAGCCAGTGCCTAGCCATACATATCTACACAGAGAGAAATACCTACCTAGAGAGAGAGAAACATGTTTGAACATGCAGGACACATTCACTGTTTGAGTGCAGAAATACCTTTGTACATGTGGAGAATACATAAGCAGAGCCCTTCCCTGTCCACCGTGCTATAATCCTATAGAGATCTATGGAATCTATATGATGTGTGTGTACATTTCTCTCTCCGAATGCATACATTATATCAAGGGAAATATAAACACAGCCCACCTGGATTCAGTATAGCTACACAGGGCTCTTTGTGTATAGAGTGAAGGGTGGGGGGAGGAGAAAAAGGTCTACTTACACATGCGTACCACTAATATGTGGAGTATAGTTTCAATACATGAACACAGAGGGAGGGAGAGAAAAAAAAGTGTGTGGAGGGGGTCTACTTACACGCACCACTGGTAATAGATGGAGTATAGATTCAGTACAGGAACAGAGAGGGAGGGAGGGAGAGTGTGAGAGGTCTGCTTACATATATAAACTGGTAATGTATGGAGCATTGATTCAATATATGTACAGAGAGAGAGAGGTCTCTTTATACATACATACCAGTAATATATGGAGTATAGATTGAGTACATGAACACAAAGGGAGGGAAAGAGGAAGAGATTGCTAGAGGGGGCTGTCTACTTACACACACATTACATACAGGTAATAATATATCGAGTATAGATTCAATACATGAACACAGAAGCCGGGAGAAAGAGACAGAGAGAGGTCTGCTTACATATACATACTGGCACTATGTGGAGTATAGATTCAATAAATGAACAGAGAGAGAGAGACAGAGTGAGGTCTCCTTACACATACATACTGGTAATATATGGAGTATAGATTCAGCACATGAACAGAGATGCATGTATTAATGATGAACAAAGGAGCACCTACTCAGGGAATATAAACACATGTTTGGAGTAAACTTTGTTTATGGATTATATGTTTCAATGTTTTGATATTTAATGTCATAGTTCACTACAGGTACATAAAAATAGTGTCATTTAAATAGGATGTTAGATTGCAAACAGTCCTAGATATTCTTTCTAGGATAAGATGCATGTTATGGAAGCTATATTATTATCCTAAGCTTAGTAGTTAATTTGTCTACAGACAATATGGCAATTGTACTCTTTGTGTGTGTGTTGATATATTGCATTTACAAGCAAGTTATGCCTGTCTTGGGGTGGGGGAGGGGTCAGTGTTCTTTTGTTCCTGTTCTGTTTTTAAGCATAAGACCAGAGTTGCGGAGAATATGAGTGGTAAAGATAACAAGGGTTTGAAAGAGGAACTGATCAGTGGTACTGTTCCAGTTTCTCTTGGGCTATTCATAGAATACATTGTGTAGCAAGAGTCATAACCTAATTTTTGGTGTGTATGTGTTTTTGAAATCCCCATTAGATTTTTAACTAATTGTACAAAAACTCTATATTTATTTACTATGAACTACTGAAGTGATATCACCTATGAAGAGCTGCAGTGATCTCATCATTTAAAGTCCTTTAAATGTGAATCACTGGCCCTTGTCTAGGTTTGGGTTAGAGTTAGGCTTGGTAGACCTAGCTTGCTGTGTCTATGCCCACGGTACTTGCTTGCTGCACTACTGTTGCTCTGAGCTCCTTACAAGTCCAGGAACTTCTGGGAATGTGCAATTTTTCTTCCTTTCTGTGATCCTTTTCCAGCTATCTCCTCCTCCTTTAACTAGAGGCATAACAGGGCAGCTCCACACCCTGGGCAGCAACCGTAGATGACGCATCAGTGTTGACAGTGTGGAGCACAACTTCATGCCACTGCTCCCGGGCACTCCTGGGCTCTGACCAGGCTGCAGCCCCATACCCCGCCATCAGCACAGAAATTACACTGCAGCCACCCCCATCCTCGCGGCTGCTGGGCCCTGGCCCTAGCCAGGCTGAAGCCCCATGCCCCACCACTGGTGCAGAAATCTGGAGGGAAATGTGCCCCCTCCACACACCACCTATGACAGCAGCAGTGCATGGCGGTTGCACTGCCAATGGTGGTGGCACAGCCAGCTACTAATTGTGATGCATGCCATTTTTGCACACCTTCTCCTGAAAGGTGGCAACCAGGGCTGCTACCCTGGTCATCTTCCCCTCACACCCAATTACACTGCTGCCCCTGGCAGTCCTCAGATGTAAAGACTTTAGCATAGTCAGGGGTGCAAGGTAGTGACTATTAGCTCTGATGGTACTGTTCCACATGCCAAGGCAGTGGTGATCATTGCTGAGTCAGAAGGATATCTCAGTTCGCAGCAGTTCACTAGGCCACACCTTGGGTGAGGAGGATAAAAATAAATATTGAACAACCTCCATGAGTACAGTTCGTCCTACACACTAAATGAGGCAGGAGTCCTTCAGAAAACTCATGCATGATCATGCGATTTCAGACTATTGGTATGCATAAGCATTATACAGTTGAAATAAGATTGCACATGCAACCCTAATTCTAATATTTTCTAACTGGTGAGTGCCTGACTTTGTCCCCTTCAAAACATTCTTTTAACACTGTTTTTCCAGGAACTGTGGGACTCTCTGTTAGTCTGAAGAGTACCTAGCACATTATGGATTCTGCCCTAATAGAAGCAAATAATAATACAGTAAAATGGATGCTTTTATCTTACCATATTACGTACATTTTAAAACACCCACAATAAAGCTAAACAAACCTATCTTACTGATGAAGACTGATGATTGATGAAGTCTAATGGTAGCTGAGAAAGATTTGCAAACTGAGAATAGGTGAACCAAAATTACTTTTATTCTTTTTAACTGTTATGGTCTTAGAGTCTCCGGACTAATCCATACTTCTTTTTTATGTATAAATAAAAATGGAATATGTACTGTATATATTAACTTTAAGTTTTTTTGGAAATAATTCCTACCAGAATAAGAAAATACAAAAAAAAGTGGTGTAGTAGTACAGTTTTTATGCAGTCCCTTGTTAAAATCTTTCAGAGTGGTGAGCAATTACATCTGCACTCCTTGTATTAATCTACTCTTCTTTAAGGCTGTGATTTTTTGGCATTTGGCATTGACCTGATAAACAAACAGGAGCTGAAAAATCAATGGCAATTGTTACTGAAAAATTTTGTTTGTGCCTTAGATTGGTGAAGGGGTACTGTCTCCTCTATGCCTATTCCAAGATATGCTGTATGCTATATGCAAAAAATATTGCATGGTAACAATCTGCTTTTGTTATAAAGGAAGATATTTTTAATGTAGGTTGACATTATAAAATGCCACATTAGTGTTGTTCTTTATCAAGCATTTTTAAGCCGATGGCAAGGTTGTTCCTTTTTTTTCCCCCTTGTGTATGGAAAAGCTTGTTTGGTGTGATGTGGAAGATATGCGCTGATATGTTGTTTCTCTTTACTTTTTGTTCTGTGGTGAACAGCATGTAATACACCTCTGCAATGAGGCAGAATTGAGTGCTCTTCAGTTTTGCTTTGGGCCTTTCCCTTCACCTAGACACTATTGTGTTAATCCATGTCTGTTTATACTGGAATAACTGTTGATTGCTCCTCTCCCTACCCAGCCTTCACCCCAAAGAGAGAAGCCTTGTTTGTGAAAACATTAAGTAGCCTGGTGTTAATCAGGTAAAAGAAAAGAAACTGAATGCTTACCAGACTGAAGATAAAACAAGTTTCTATATTAGCATGTCATTAGCACCAGATCTTGCAAACCCTGGCTCACAGGAGCAGTCCTGTTAAAACGGATGGGATAACATGCATGAGTACAAGGTTGCAGAATCAGTCCTCATAATGAAACACACATCATTTCATTAACAGAAAGGGTAGGACAACTGAAAAATCCCAAAGGCTACAAGTAAGAAGCTATTTAAACCATTACAGACCTCAGAAAACTAATTTCAGTACAACCAGCTCAGGAAATCATAGGACGACAAATTCTGCCACTCTTATTTCACACAGGCTAGTACTTGCTCCATGAATAATCACATTGATTTCCAAGGGACTGTCCCTGGGGGAGGTACTACTTAGGGTGAGTAAAGAATGGTAGAATCTGACCCAAAAGGATTAATCTGAAGGGTTCTGTGTTCTTTCTTTGTTTTCCAAATCCATTAGAGAATGATGGGATAGCATGCATGTGTGACAGCTAAAAAGCTGATTTAAAAAAAAGGCACTAGTAATTTGTTTTTGTTAGGAAGATATCTAATTCCAGTATAAAATAGCAGGTGGCTG